GCAGTTGCTCAGGGGGGACCTAGACCACCCAGTCAGGGGGGACAATCACAACCAACAGGAAATGGGCCTACTGCTGGAGCTGGAAACCAACCATCTACTCCAGGTATGGACAGAGTTTTTTGTTTGGTTGWYGATACTTCCCATAATCCATCATTCTACTGAGTTACATGAGGTGTTGGCAAMTTRAYAAAACTGAATGRTCATGTGCTATTTTTGCCAATTGCTTGATAAAAGWTTTGCTGACATTTCATGTGATTCAATWGTAAAATGTTACTGTTCACATTCGCTCCTAGTCATCCATAAGGCCTAATAATGTAGTAACATAATGCATGTTTGTTAAAGTATAAGTATAAGTAATAATTAATCATATCTGTCAGGGGTTTCTTATCCACATTGACAGCATACATTTGCATAAAATGTCATTTCTTTTCAATACAATACATATATGTAACAAGATATATTGTTTCTGTTTGGAAAATGACACGATACATGTATTTCATTGAAGTATGTTTCTAGAGATAGTTACCAGCACCAAAATTATTAAAAATAATGATTATCTTAATATATGGAAACTGATAGAAAGTTTATGATGTCATTACATGTAGTCATAGATACTGATATCTTGATATATATTAAAAGTATCTACAAATTTTACAATTTAAGGTGCTTTTCCAATGGGAAATCCTGGTATGTCACCAACGTCTCAGCCACAAATGTCCATGGCCTCCCAACAGCCTGGTGAGATGTACATCGCAGGGGTTCAAATGAATGGTGGTATGGGWTCAGAATACCAAGGCGGACAGACAGTTGGTGCTAACGTACAGTCACAGGTAACAACTTAAAATACCTTAGGGACTAATCAAACTTGGTGCCCAGGGTTTGTGCTACTCCTTGAAGTCTTTGAAAAGTCCTGAAATTGAAAAGGGCACTTGAAAACCCTTGAAAATGGGAAAACCGCCACTTGAAACATCCATATAATCAAAGAATGTCTTCAAAAATACTCCTTGAAAATTGCATTTTTTTGCTTAAAAAGTACTTGAAAAGTCCTGGAATTTTGTACTAAAAATGTAGCATGAACCCTGGTAGCCTGAGTTGTGTTCTTTGTTTTGAGTATCAATGTGCATGTTGTAGTTTTTTGATAAAGGAGTACTGCAGGGTTCCTGAGCGAGCACATTATAGTGTCAGTGCCTGTGCACAGGTGCCCACGTTAGCCCATGGAAGGCCTGACTGTTGTTTATCATTGTATGTCGGCCAACTTTTCTAGATTCTCGTTTCACATTATAAAAGTTGTTTTATAATCACATTGTTACACTTCATTTACTGGTGCTAGTTTAATGCTAGTTRTCTGCATAATCTAAAGGTACCTGGTCTGCGTCATGTCATGTCACAGGCATCCGCTTATGATCCCAGTGGGGGGCACATGCAGGGACAGCAACAGATGTATCACGACCCCCATCACTTGCATCAGGTAACCATATTGACATTAATATTGAACATTTTTGTGAGTAAAAAAATTGATTTCTAAGTAATTACAGCGGAAACCATTACATTGCGACCTCTTTGTTTTGAAGTTTGTCTGGATTTTGTTCTTTCTTTCAATCTGAGGGGCGGAGATTTCCGAAAACTCATTCAATCATTGGCTGATTAGTATCAAGCTCTGCCCCCAAGTCGTAGAAAAGCCTATCCTAACTATTTCCTTTGAATATGAAGTTGCGATGCAACGGTTTCTGCTGTAATTCATTGAATTTATCTTTTGAYAGGGTGGAGGACAAGGAGGCAACAAAGGCACCCCTGAAGGTAACAAAAAGAATTAAGTGAAGTTGTATTCTCATGGTGGTAATGACAAAACACAATCTTCTCTTTATATTCAAACAGAGGGAGAGTCTTAGCTACACTGAACAGAGACATTTTGATCTATGAAGACCAACGATGATGGCCAGTGTCAACCACCCTGCTCTCAATTAGTTGAACAAACTTGAAAGCAACATCCATTCACTCCATGGGTACTATTAATATAACTAATGCGTCATGTACCTGTGAAACAGCAGCCAGCAAAAAAATTATAAGGAAAATATAGAGTATTTTGATTATTTGATTTTTAGGTGATTATAAAGTAATATACTTGCTTTATTTGTTCAAAGTGGAAAAGTTGGGTTCTGATTGTCTTAGTTTGCATCATTTAAACCTTTTTTATGGTTTCAATTAAACCTGTTTGTGACTGCAATAAACCTGTTTATCCTGCAGTAAACCTGTTTATCCTGCAGTAAACCAGTTTATTTGATTTTATTTATAGCAATATTTCATAGTTTAACATTCTTCCCTGGAAATGTTTGATGATGAGATATGGGAAATGATATAGGTTTGGCCTCAGAAAACCGAGGAAAAAAATAAACATCCTTCTTTCGCTGGCAATAGCAACCAATAATCAGACAAAGCAAATCTCAGGAAAAATAAACTATCTATTGCATCCATTTACAGTGTGATTTGATCAAAAAATCATGAGGCTTTGTAATATTTTTTCTGTCCAGGTTGTTAGACTACTTTATAACCTAATGTAGCCATTTTGTGATTTTCAGAAAGCAAAACTATTATATTATTATAATCTATTGAGCTTAATGAATTGTTTTGACCCAAATACCACATTCAAAGAAGCAATACTATTCTATAGATTTATTTGAATATTTTATAAGCTAATGTAATTTAATGAAAAGTAGTGCATTATAAATAAGAAATTCATCTGCTAAATACAATAAATAGATATTTTAATAAATTTACATGAAAATGTGTTTGATGTCTTCAGTTCAGTTTGAGTGTAACTTTCAGTGGGTTGGGCTCTAAACTGCTTTCCTGCTAGCAAACTCTCTAATTGTCTCTCTCCGACGAGTTTTGATTTGATAAAAATAGTAGTAGTAGTAGTGTAGAAGGATTTGTCAGGTGTTTTTAGCTCGGAAAAGGGATTTCATGTATTGATGGGTTAGTGTTAAAAATAAAAGATCGGTTTTTGGGAAAAAACCGTGATTGGATGACTTTGACGGCAGGAATTTGCACATAAGMAATTCAGGACTCGCAAATATGCACCAAGTATTCCTTTTATGATACCCTTTAAAAATGAAAGTCGTTTCTTGTAATTTKTGATAGCAATCTTACCTCTTTAATTTGAAATAAGGGATTCTCTGTGGCAGCGCCGCCATCTTACTTCGGAGATTCCCGCCAAACGATTAAATGCGCAACGTGATTGGCCAAAATCCGGTGAGAGGACTTCGATTTTGGGAAGCTAGGAAATCGTTTTGTCCAGACTTAGCAGTTCCTTGATATAAAAGAAAATGATAAGCTCCAATCCAGTATCGCTGGATGAAAACATGCCTGACGWGCAAGGGGAGAGCGAGACGAAACAACAAGAAGAAGATATTACCGAGGAAAAGCAAAATGTCGACGATGTCTTGCAGCAGATCATGAGCATCGCGGAGCAATCGTTAGACGAAGCGCAAGCAACGTGAGTAAAGCAAATTCAACTTGTTTGATGTCTCAGTCTGCTGTCATTATATTGATTCTGTTGGATTTTTCTCTTTTTTTTCATTGAATGATGAAGKAAGCATGCTTTGAATTGCCATCGTTTGAAACCCGCCCTGTTCAATGTTCTCTGTGAGCTCAAGGACAAAATAGGTAACTTATGTTTGAGTCCTCGTTACTAGCAAATCAGCTCAGGTTGAAGTGCTTTGAATAACGCAATATCGTTGTTTTATTACTGCAAAGAAGAAACGTCGACATCTTTGGGCAGTCTTGATTATTAGGAACAGCACTCTTTCGAAAGCGCGCGTGTACGTTCTGTAAATTCTTCGTCCTTCTTAAATAACAATTTCAATTTCCWTGGCATAGATTGAAGACAAATCAATTAACCGGAATGTATTCCTTGAAAGATAAAACSGGAAGAAAAAAGGAAGACCCCGGAAGTTCTGCCGGCKTTTATTAACTCGCGCGGTTTTTAGCTTTTGATCCGTGCRGAATTTTTCTAATTCTGGATCATCATGAATATTYTTCGTGTAATTCCATGAAATTATTAGAATATCAGATAATTTAAAGACCATAGAGCAAGATTTAACAAAGGCCAACAAAGCCGTAAACTGATAAAATTCCTTTTTGACTTTCTTATTATTAAAGCTTAGATGAAAGAATATTTTTTAATTCGCTTTAAGCTTTGAATGTTCGCGGAGCTAGTCAAGAAGAGGACATGCCTCCAGATCCACAGCTTAAGGGAATGGACAGTATGCTGCTTGCAGAGGGCGTGATGGGACCTGACAAAGATAGTGGCACTGCACTGGGGCATGAAAATCAAACAGAACGCACAGAATACCARGACAAAATAAAGGAAATCAGACAGGTTTATCATACAGAGTTTGAAACATATAAACAGGTATGTATTTCCTGGTGGGTGTGGGACTCCTTAGAGATGAGTTTTTAAATTACATGTTCAAGATAAAACTGTAACAAAATTTATTTTGCAAACAAAACATTCAACCCCCCATCCACATCCCTTCATCAATAGTCACATGGTCACCCCTAAAGTCATTTTCCAGTCAATCAACTCCGAATTAATCTGATTACATATGTCGCGTACTAACTAGGCATGCAACGAGTTCACTAGCCATGTCAAGAACCTTCTAAATGAGCAATCTAACATAAGGCCTRTAGATGATAAAGACATACAGAAGAAGTTGGGAATGATGCAACACAACTTTAATGAAATACAATTACAACTTAAACAAAGTACATGTGAAGCTATAGTGGTACTCAGATCAAATGTTCTGGAAGCAAGGTAGGTTTCCTTCTCACTATCACTCACATTTGCGATTAGTCAACATGGTTCTGATCGCTTTTGAATTATTGCTAAGTGACTATAATTCTGATAATAATAAACAGCTGGCTGAGGTCTTCAACTTCTACTAAATCGTTTCAGTCTTACTGCAAGTTGATTTAAAAGCAACTATAATGGTCTTGATTGATGTCTGTTAACTGTTTGTTGCAAATTGTATTTGTATAGTGTGGTCGKGTAGCAGGGAGGGTTCTCAATATTTGCTGGTAGCTTGCAATAATCACTAGTACTTATCGCCTAGAACACTTGTTACACTGGTGGATAAACCTGGCCAGGGGTGCTGGGTGTGCAAACCCCAGCCTGAGACCTTAATGCATCCTTGGATACTTAACCTTTTGTCTCCTTTGTGATCATTTTTGCACCCCACTCTCTGAGTGCCCTGCACCCCTCCCTCTCCCCCCACCCCCCCAGAAAAGAAATCCTGGACCTGCCCTTGGGTTACTACTTGATGAAATTATTTGCAGTTTTCTTATTGCAGCTGTAGTAACCTTTAGCTTATCTTGCTAGACCAGCTGTCTCCTTTGGACAGTATATTACTTTTGGTAGTTTTCTATATATACATTGTAAATCATGGATTTAATATTTTATTGAAACAGGAAAAAGAGAAAAAACTTGAGCAAGCAAGCCATTGAAGTGTTAAATGGGTACTTTTATTCACATCTGGGTAGTCCATACCCAAGCGATGAAGATAAAGAAGAACTTGCAAAAAAATGCAAGATTAGTGTAATGCAGGTATCTATCTTTAATATTTTAAAACATAATTTACATTTCATTTAGTTCCAATTATACTTAATTAAAACACAACTATGTTTCAGATATCCAACTGGTTTGGCAACAAAAGAAATCGATACAAGAAAAATATTGTCAAAGCTCAGAAAGAAGCAAGTATGTATGCCGCAAAGGCTGCTACTGGCACCACTGCAACTGCACAAGGAGAACTTGTTCCACCCAGTCAGGGGGGACAACCACAACCAACAGTGAACGGAATAACTTCTGAAACAGAGACTCAAATAACTACAGAAACTGTAGGTATGGACAATTTTCACAAATTTCCTTTGTATATTATGTAATATATACAATATGAGCGGGCGATCTGTATGAGGATTTAAAACAGCGAGCTGAAAGCGAGCTGTTTTAAACCTCATACAGATCGCACGCGAATATTGTATATTACTTATGAAACGTTAAGGTAAATTAGCTCAGGTTTTAAAGAAACTTTTGAAAAAAAATTCAATCTGACTGAGAAAATCAGAGTAAAAGTTTATGCAAATGAACAAGAAATCTGTATGTAAGATACAACTCTCTTCATGGGCTGTGATTTCTATTGTGTTTTGCCTTATGAATATTAATGAGTTTTATAAATATTATATATATATATAAATGTTGATGTGCTTAGAGAAGTATATGACATATTTCCATTTTGTGACTTTATAGTACTAGTGATACCTTGTTTATCAGGACACCCATCCCACCATGACAAATCTTGACTGCATTGAATCTTGTAAAATTGTCATTGCGTTGTTGTTGTTACACTAAGTGATTGTATTGAAATATTAACTACTTCAGGTGCATCCATTGGAAACCCAGACATTTCACAGMCATCTCAGTCACACATCTCAACATCATCACAGCTGATTGGGGAGATACACAAAGCAGTGTTAGAAATGATTGACAGTATGGAAGCAGAGAGTGGACAAACAGTGTCAGATGAACAGTCATAGGTAAATGATTATGATTCAAGACTGGTAGTCTAAAACCTACTTTTTTTTCTTGCAAGACATCTGTTTTATTTCATATTTCTCAAAAAAACATCCCCATCCTTTCATTCATACCACCTGTTCACATTATTATTCATTTCCTATTTTTTTTTCATTTCAGAAGGTGTACATTGTGGATTATAGAAATGGCACTCAYAAAGAATAAAAAAATGTGTTTCAAAGGATGCTCTTGACTAGTATTTTACAAATAGTTTTATTTTACAATATAAATTTGTACATTTTGATTAAATTTGTACACAAAGTTTTGCCCACATTTGTTTGTAAAAAAGAGAGAAAGAATAGATGTCAATCCAGAGGGTGTTAATGGCTGCACTATAAACTGCAAGGCTTTGCCTGAGCAAAACAGTCATTGAAACTAGAGTATTTTTTTTCTCTATGTTGATGCATCCCTCTCTTTAGTATCTGTAAGAACCTATCATACAGCTTAATTTTGAGAACAAATAAAATAGTAGTGTTTGAAATAAATAAAACTGATATGTGAGAATACAATCTGAATGAAAATATATGTTGTGGATTGTCAAGTCAGTGATTCAGCCCTTGTACTGTATCAAATTACAACTTGAATTTTGAACTGTGTGACTACCTCAAAGATTAAAGTCAATTAAGTCTCAAAATCMAAATAAACTAACATTAAAAAGAAAACGGAAGTGATGACAATTGATTTATTTAAAACAAATTAAATTTATATAAAATCCATAATTATAATTAAGTTGATTTAAATATTAATTATAAACTTCCTGTTTAAATAAATACCTTCCTGTTTCAGAGTTGTTGTTGCTTTTTTGTTTTGTTTTGTTTTTTATCAGTAAGAGTTTAAGAATCGTTTTAAATTAAAGCAATAATCAAAAAAAGTGAAAGATTGCCATCCGTATTTTGAGGAAGTAAACTCGATACGAGGAAGCTAACACTATCCAATCAGAAACTTCGTAAGAATCGATGGCTCTTCCCAGCTTCGATAGTACAGCTATGCTGATTGGTTYAAAGTTGGAAGKCTGTCGCTTYAMGCCAAGTCAAGATGGCGGCATCGCGGATAGAAGGTCGYTTATGGCTTCTTCAAGAAAGATTGAAGCAAGAACGGCTCTTTGTAACTAAAGAAAAAGAATGYATAAGACTTCTGAACACAGAGGTTCAAGTAACTTGCGAAAAACTCTTTCATGYCTCATGGATTGCCGGCCAGCAGTGGAGGAATTTGCAAAGATTACAAGCTCACCCTGCTAAAGCCAGCTATGCAAACAAACTYCTTGATAGTGCTGAGTTTGTAGATGCATATAAAAGCCTTGGCTACTTGGAATCAAAGTATGGAGATTTTCTTAAAAAGCTRAGAGAAAATCCTCAGCTGTTAGCTTCCTCGCTTGCTTTTGTCGACGAGATCAAAATCAATATCGATACTAAACAGGTCTCTCGTCTTTTGCTAAACTCACTTTATGGGAATTGCCTTTTGCCTGAAGATGAGAATTATGTCCTTGTACTTATGAGATCGTTGATGGAATATCAAATTATTAAGAGTGAACAACCRCAAAAMTTCTTCAGAAGTCCAAGAAACTGGTCGTTCACTGTAATTTTTGTCGTCTTGATCGAAAGTTTATTTTCTGCAAAGTTGTATCTCACAGCAGCTCTACATACWCCAATTCTACACGTTCTAGCCAGAGATTCTAAAATTCAGGCACAACTCCCTTATCTGTGTACACGATTTGTTCAAAGCCTGCAAGAAAAATTATACTGTTTTCCTCCCAGCTTGAGATGGCTGATATGTCAACTCTATAATGTCTTGAAATCAAGTGGAACCCTMACCATCAACGAAGTCAAATGTATGGTCTCTGAGCTGTTGTTCAATTACCTTGTTTGCCCTGCTATTATTAACCCAGAGCCATATGGGATCAATTCAGATATGCAAGTTAGCAAAATAGCTAGAATAAATCTACAACAGATTAGTTCTTTGCTCTGCAAGAGATGCACTTCGCCTTGGGAAGGCTCAGGGGGCCACAGTGWTGATCTTTTTAATACTGTGGACGTGGTAAGTGCAAGTGCAGCATCTTCGATTGTTTCATGTACAGTCAAACCTCTTTTAAGCTGTTAATGATGGGACTTAGCGAAGTTACCACTTAATAGAGGTTGACTGCTTGATAAAGGTTATACCTATTTAGTTCATATTTTCTATAGACTCCAACACAGTCTCTTGCTCGGTTGTTTGTCTTGAAGATTCTAAATTCATTAAAAAATGAACAAAGATTGCATAATGGATCACCAAAACAATAATTTATTTTCAGAAAAGCAATAACACTTTGGTTAAAGAGGAAGGAGTTTCCCACAACTGTTTTTAGTGGGAAACACAGCAGTTAACTGTACTATGTTAAAGTAGCAACTGTTAAAAGAATTTTGACATGTTTGTGTAGTTTCTGTCATAATACATCAAWGAACAATCAGTCAGTTTTCTAGGAGACTGCTTTATAATGCAAATTAAACAAGTTTACTCACTGGAATGTTTATATGGTAATTACATTTGCTTAATAGTAGATGTGACTACTTAATAGTGGTCTAATTTACAGCAGATRTTAGGGAAACTCAGGACTTGACCATTGAATAGAGGATGACAGCTTTTAAAATAGAGTGCTGCTTAATAGAGGTTTGACTGCAGATGGCTCTATGACTAGACYYATGTTGTCTCATTTGGATTTGAATGATTTATTTTCTATTTTCTTATAACAGAAGTGCATTTCATCATTTGTTGATTCTATACTGGAAGGAGCTGGACACGTGASCAACTTTCCTGAACAACAAACTCTTCCTGGACTTTGTAGGACTTCAGTGTTGATCACTGAAAATGAGCTCAATTCTTTGGTAAGGACTACTTCATCACAATCTGTAATTAAGGGACATTTTCAATACGTTTAAGATGTTTATTTGACAAAGGAAAYAACATGACAGTGAATATGGCATAAATGTCGAGAATTGTGATATATTTTATTTTATTGTTTTCGCTATTGTTTCATGTGTATATATAGCTCTTCAGTTGTAATAAATTCAAAATTGCTTGAGAATGGCATCAGAGGATGTCGAAACGTTGCAAAAATGAATCTAGTTGCGTTTGTCTTTTTGATTAATTGTGATATAGTTATGAGAACTTTGTACTCTGTCTGAAGTCCAACTTGCATAATTAATCAGTGAATACACCTAACTGAAAGAATCCTGTGGCTGAAAAGGCTACATCGTTGAAATTCAGACTGAAAATAACAGGTGTTTCAGYAAGCTCCCCATCTCTTTCGGTCTGAGCCGCAATGATATATCATTTTTAAACCAGACCGTATATTTTTATTTAGATATAAGATAAAAGTAAGGAAGAAAAAAAAYATACAAAACAAAGTTTTTATTTTACATTGTCACTGTCTTTTTCAGCCTGTCTTWSTGTTTTTCTTTCCTTYCCTCTCAAACATCAGGMCYGATAAAAACATTGCAACAGTTTGCGTTACATTCAGTAACAATAAACCATGAAATGGTGGGAACTAGCGGTAAACTAGTGTGAGCTGCGTCRGTGTTTCTAAAGAAACAGTTATGTAAAAAGATAAATTTAACACCGTAAAAAAAGTATGTGAAATAACTTACTGACGTTTCGGACGTTAATCCTTCGTCGGAGTAAAAGTGATGAAAATAGACCATAACAATAAACCATAGTTTTGAAATATCAAGCTTATGAATGTATAAGAACAATGTAGTGATAATACTGCAGTCCTATTATAGTAGCTCTTTTTGTTTGGAGCAAAATGACTTTGAAGTAATGACCAGTAATATMTAAAAATATAAGTTTATTGACATTWAAAAAAAWATATAAAGGTCRGACTYGAATATTTTATTTTGCTAATCAAGTTCCAACATAAGCTAAAGCATATTTTGCTAAAATCTACAAGCTATGAAATATCTGTTTTAAGAAAAAAAAATGAAAAGTCATATGCAAATCAGGGCAAGTGTCATACTCATTTAAAGATGCGGTGACAGCAATGATTTTCCCTTGAGTTTACCTTATGRATTATTAACAGATTTGATAAGACATATACATGACATAACTTATAATATTTAGTTTGTTTGCACTGTTGAATGATTTAATCAAATTATTTGATTTATCTGCAGATATGTTATTTAAGAATGATTCATTCTTGGCAAGGTGATGTACAATTCCCTCATCGCCAAGAACTGGGAGAACTTTTAAACCTATTACCACCAGACAAAGAAAGCTCAAATTATTCCTYGAAACCAATCATTTCAGCATCTCCGYTGGCTAGCCCAAAGGTCCATCACAAAAAGAACCCTTTTTCCAAAACAAAAAGTAAAAACCGTTTTAATGAAGACGATGTAAAAGTTGAAAAGTCAGCAATGTCTGCTTTAGCCTCAATAACTCCTCAGGTTTCTAAATCACAAAGGTATCACCAAGAATGTGTGAAAAGGCTWKGTGAACTGTATGAGGAAAATAAACCWGTATTGGTGGTTCCTTTGGGTTATTCTGTGGTGGAATCTCCAGGAATGCTGCCTGAAGAAAAGGTAATAATTTATTATAGTTAATTTTACGAAATTCAAAATCAAGCAGTCAAT